AGTTGTTTGAATGAGTGTTCGGTAATTATCGGGACCCGTCAAATCATGTTAGCTGAAGTGACGTTTGACGAGCTTCAACCCCAACCAAACCATACGTGGGGTTTGGATGTATTACGGGGTATCAGCGAGACCGAGTGTCGCTATGTTTACATCGGTACCGAGTTGTTGCTCGGGTTTTTATTTTTTGTGATAATTAGTCTTTGCGGCTGGAGCAGGGGCTCGACGGTAGGACAATACGGAGCAGAGGCTCAACGTAGGAAAATATAGACTTCCGCTCAGCCGGAGTCGAGGCTCAACAGCGAGAAAATAGGGAAGGCGTCTCAGCCGGAGTCGAGGCTCAACGGCGAGAAAAATAAAGACGTCAGCTCAGCCGGAGTCGATGCTCTACGGCGAGCAAAATAGAAACGTTGGCTCTGCCGGAGTCAATGCTCTACGGCGAGCAAAATAGGGACGTCGGCTCAGCCAGAGTCAATGCTCTATGGCGAGAAAATATGGACGTCAGTTCAGCCGGAGTCGAAGCTCTACGGCGAGAAAGTGTGGACGTCGTCTCAACCGGAGTCAAGGCTCAACGGTGAGGAAATAGTGTCGTCGTAAAAAGATGATCAGCTTCGGCATGAATGAATGGGTCGGGATGGCTCCGAGCGTAAATCAATGGCTCCGGCCCCGGCATATATAAATAAATTCGGCCCCCGCGATAATAAATGATCGGTCGTAGCGTGAATGAATAGGCCTTCGTGAATAAATAAGTGACTTCGGCTCCGGCGTTCAGAAATGATTCGGGCCTGATATAAATAAGTGACTTCGGCTCCGGTGTTCGTCAATTTAAATAAATAAACTCGGCCCTGGCTTTTGTTGGTTCAATAAATGATTTCGGCCCCAGCTCTTATAGATTTGGAGAAATAAACTTATGCCCGGCTATCGCCAGTTTGACTAAATGAACTCGGCACCGGCAATGATAATAAATAAGCGGCTCTGGTTGCTGGCCCTAGCAGTGAATAAAAATTTGGGCCCCCGGTCTGTCATTGGGCCATCTTAAAGTCAGGCCCAAATAAAATATTAATGGACACCATCATCAAAATGGGTTGTTGCCTTTCTGCCGTCTACAGATTCATCTTTCACATCGTTCTTCAATTGTATTTGGTAGTTGCGAAGTCAGTTGCATATCTGGTAATGGAAAGGCGACTTTACTGCGATTTGGAAAAATTGAAGACTATGAGGTCGGTTCCGGCAGCAAAGAGAAGATCCGATGGCAAATCGGAAGTGAATTCGTTTATTCGGTCAGCCCAGGTGAGTAGTCGGAAAATCAGACTTCGGCGGTGTCGGTGGTGAAGCCGGATAGACGAGATCGGGTTCCGGTGATCTGTGAAGTCAGAGGTGCCGAAGTCGGTGTTTGCTCGTGACGTCATTTGTCCGATCCCGAGTTGCGGTCGGTTGTTTGGAGATTTGGGACCGAATTGAGCATCTCGGTTTTGAAGGTCGGAGATGGCGAAATCAACCCCGGCGACTGAAATCGGAGGTGAGCATGCCGGTTCGGTGGTCGACGAAAGTGAGATTAATATAGGCTCGTGAAGTTGGTCGTGGTCAAGCCAGGTCCTGATTCAGAGACCAACTATTTACAGACTCGGACCCCAGCGGATGCCCGAAGTCTGACATCGGAGAAGTTGAAGTCGGGTTTCAGTGAGGTCGGGCCAAGATGTCTGAGGTCGGTCTTAGTGCTTGTGTAGTCGGTCCGATAGGGACTCAAATCGGGGACGGTGATGACGTCTCTGACTTTCAAGACCGGAGATAATAAGATCGGTCAGTCATGGAAGACTTAGCCCCGACGTCAGTCGACTGAGATTGGGCTTGTCGGAAGGCGAGAGAGGAAGGTCGGCGATGTCGGATGTCCGAGAGACGATGTCGGTTGGGATCTGAAGATTGAAGACCGCGAAGTTGGCCACAGCGGCAAAACGGAGATCCTGTGATAAGTCGACAGTAGGTTCGTCTGTTCGGTCAGCCCGGGTTATAGGTGAAAAAATTGGACCTCGGTCGCAGCTTTGGAACTTACTAACCGAGGTGATCCCAGTTTGGTGATATCGGGCCCGAGGTCTTACGAGGACCGGCTCAGAGGTGTCGAGGTCGACAGAAACTTCGTTCTGGATACCCGGGCTGTGATGATGTCGGCTTATGATGTCTACTCGGGGTCCCATGGATTGAATTCGGGGAAGCTGAGACCGACCCCGACAGAAAATGCTGAGGTTAGCCTGAGTGTGAAGTCGTGCTCATCCTGGCGTCGGTATGCGCGATTTAAGCTCGGTCGGCATGAAAAGTGAAGGGCCGACAACAAGAAAATGAGGTCAGCCGGCCGTATTTTGAAAGTACAACCGACGGGGCTGTTCGGCTCGGAATCTGAGGTGGGCCCTTAGCGGATGACTCGATTGAAGCGTCTTTGGCCTCAAAGTGTAGGTGTCTGATGGTAGATCAACGGCAAAGTGTAGGTGTCTGATGGTAGATCAACGGCGACGACAACCAAACAATATATTCACCCCTTCTTCCCCAGCTTTTTTCTCATACTTTTGTTATTTTTGTTTTTGTTTTTTTGTTTTTTTTTTTTTTTTTTTTGTGTCGGTGAAGGAAAAAGTAAAACAGAGGCAACGTGGCCTATTTTGGTTCAAGAGGGAAAAAGAAGCAGCAGGTAATGGGTGACGTGGCCAATTCATGTTCAAACGTAAAAAGTGACTATCTCTTATCTATTTCAAGGAAACATATGCTGAGAAAGAGAAAATTTTTGCAGAGCTGCATCTGAGGCATATTTCGTGACCTCATGTAGAACACGGTATTTGAACATAACTTGGAGTGGTATTTTTGCGGCAGAGATGCAGCGGTTTCCGGCGAAAATTGACTCGAAAAAATTACCGGGCCGCCCTTCCTCTAGCGCCAAACTGTTGATATGCGAATTTGTATCAACATGGGGTGTTCAGAATATTGTGTTTATATAGATTTCTGTTGAATATTTGTATGATTTTTGGATTAAGAATCGAAAGAAAATTGAAAGATTTGTTCTTTCATGTTCTTGAAGTAAGTTTTGTGAAAATCAATCAAGAGAAAAATGGAAGAAAAAGCTCAATCTCTGCCCGTAAGTTTTCTTCATGTAAGGGAAAATAAAATGAGGTTTCAGAAGAGAAAAAGTAGTAATCGCCCCTCAGACCTATGTCTATGACATCCATCATAGGGGTATATATATATATTTGGTGGGCCCGTTATTATTACTAGCGGTATTATTTTTTGGGCCATAAAATAGAACAATTAATATAATATATATCCACGTGTAATATTATAATAGGCGAGGCCAAAATTGGGTATTAACAAAATCTTCAAACAGAACGCAACATACCTATTTACAATAATAAAATATATAAATTTTATGTGTACATCCATCAAAGAAAATCACCCTTTTATATATCTTGTTTGAACTAAGATCAAAAGGCTAATACAACTTAAATTGGTACAAGATGGTTTAAAGAAAAATTATTCATCTATTTACAAACACGTAAATGCCTCCTCATCATAGTACATGATTGAAGACACATATGACGAAGACCACGCATGATGTCCATCATGACTTGAAAAATATATTTTCAAACAGATTTTCAGACATTTGAAATTGTAAACATTGTAAATTATATAATTTATTTCCTAGGACTTACTTTCTCTTATTCAAGGGGTTGTAATAACTAAGAAAAACAAAAGAAGAAATAAAAAAATAAAAAAAATCATACGAAAATCAAAATAAGAATGAAAAATGAAATAAAAAAATAAAAAAATAAAAGAAAATTTCGAAATAAACAAAATAAGAAAAGAAAAAAATCAAAATAAAAATTATAGAAAAAAAAAAAGAAAAAAAAAATACCAAAAGTGAATATTTTACCTCACACACACCCACCATGTCTTTGAACTCATCTATAAATGTCACTCCATACCACACAACTCTTGCACACCACAACACTCTACACTCTCCTTTCTTCAAGAGAAACTTATAAGCTTAGCCTCTCCTCTTCTCTTTTCCCTCTCCAAATGCCTAGACCATTCAAAACGTTTTTTTTTTTTTTCTTCAATTTCTCAAATTCCAAACCTCTTTTAAATTCTATATGTATTGTTAGTATAGTATTAGTATTTTCTTTCTTCAATTTTTCAAATTCCAAACCTCTTTTACATTCCATATGTATTGTTAGTATAGTATTAGTATTGTATATTCAAAACACTGGTCAAAACTTTGAAAGCCTGAAGTGATTATTGTATCAAACACTGATTACTGAATACAAGGTTCTTGTTTATACTTTTAATTTAGCTACTTTTTGTGGTGGTCTCAGCCCGAGCCCCGTATAAATTTTATTTTCAATTACATGTTACATGGATTTTTAAATTTATGATAAAATTTTATCAGTATAATTATTTTATGAAATCACATTGTAGTTAAATCGAATTTCTGAATTAAACTTTTTAAAATGACACTTATTTTTTGAAATTAATATAATGTAATTTATTATTAGTTACGTGCACGAATTGTGTAATAATTTTAAATACGTGTTGTGTACTAATTTTAAATACTAATTTTAAATAAATATTTTTTTATGTAATTTTACACAATTTAGATTTCATACAACACAGATAAATTGTATTACATATTGATTCTCTATTTTTAATTTATAACTATCATTTAATGAATATCTACTAGTTTGAGAAACAAAAAAATGACTTCCAAAATCTCAAAATCTCTCCTAACTCTAGAGGGAGAGCTTTGTCGCCATTATGATCCTACCCGGACCGATTTCGGATTAGTCGGTTCCTCTGTGGATTCAGAAACCGGAAAGTCCCTGTACCAAAAAAAAAAAAACTCCTAACTCGGCAAATAACTAATTACACCTTCGACAATTTAATAAAACAAACTTTCTTTTCCGATTTGTAGTGAGATTTGAGTAGAGTCCCCCAAAATCTCAAAATCTCTTTAAAAATTCTTTTAATCACCCAATATTAACATAGAAAACACCACTCATCTGTTTGATCTTCGGCAGAAACACCTTGAGGACACCTTTCTTCATTTCGGCCTTTATCTCGCTAGTATTGTACATCCCCGCCGGTAGATCTATTACCTTGTTGTACGTGCACCTCCTCCGGCCGCCGCCATCTTCTTCGTCTTCATCGCATTCCTTCTTCTTCTTCCCCTCGATGGTCACAGTGTTATGCTCCACCGACACCTTGATGTCCTCCTTCCCCAGCCCAGGCATGTCCATTCGCAGCTGGATCCAATCCGCAGTCTCCCGAGCATCCCAGTTCCTGAGGACCGTCGTCGATCTCGGAGGAGATTTCAGTAATTCATCCAATTTCATGATTATGTTCAGGCTGCTTCTTTCGAGATATTGACAGAATATGTCTAAATACAGAAATTGAAGGAACAGTTACGGAAACCCTAATTTTTTTATTTTTTTTTTTAAATTAATCGAAAAAACAGGGAGGGAATAGAAGCAATCCAACAACTACCTGAGAAGGTGGAGAGCACACGATGCTCTGCAGGGCGATCGTCGTCATCGCCGCCGGACTCGCGGACAGCATTTGTGTTGAAGAGGCGGGAGGCTGAAGGCCGAGCCACCGCTGACCTACGGAGGAGGTTAGGTGCGACCCGGACCAGCCTCTTCAGAACGAGAGAAGACGCCATAGATAGCTGCTTTAGCTTTATCCTTGAGAAAAGGGCGTTCGTTGTGATATTTGAGACGGTTAAAAAGGTATATTTATGTTGTGGTGGAGTAATCGGCAACGTTGAGAGGTGACTTTGGGCACAAGTAGGAACGGGGGATATATTGTGCATATTTAATTTTCCGAAAATATATGGTGGTTGCAAGGAAAAATATTGGGAAAAAATAATATAAAAAATCTATATTATGGTATTTTGAACCCATACATTATGTTAAATTATAATTTAGTTAGATATTGGTGGAAAATCAGTTAAAAAGATTTAGTTTGACTCAATTTTGATTGAGTAGATAGCGGAATGTCAAGTATGACCCGTAACAATCTATCTTCGGGAGCATACGACGACTCTTTCACCACTTGAGGCGTTACTTTACCCACTAAAATATCGCCGGTCTCTACCCAAGATCCCAGCATCACAATTCCCAATTATGTGAGTCATTATTTTTCTTCCCCTAGTCTTCAACACAAGAAATCTTCAACCCAAGAAGACCTAAGAAAGGGACATTTTTTACGGCAAAATAAATAATTCAGATTGAATAAAATTTTGCAGAAAAATTCTAATTTCCGAGTAGATACTATATTTGTTTTCTCAAAACTGATTTTCGATGCGTGAGAAAACTCAGAAAACTTACTCATGACGAATGAAGCTATGTTGCCTGGAAGTCGGAGATTTGGTGGCTGCAGGATGCTCGACGAATTGCAGAAAAATCAGGATGCGAAAGTAGGGAAAGGGAAGAATGTAGGCAAAGGGTCGGTATTTATATTGAAGAGGTCTGGAACGGCGCGTTCTCGACCGCCCGATTAAGAAGTGTTAACGGCCACGATGAAGAGGGAGCCGAACAGACGCAAAAGCAAGAGCCGTAGGATTAAAGTGGGTGATCTAACGGTGAGAGAAGAAGAGACGCGGGGGACAGGGGCGAAGACCGAGGTGGCGCGAGTCACGAGGCCATCATGACCTCTGACAGGTGAAAGGACGTACCCAAGAAAGTGGACAACTGGCAGAATTCAAAATTTGAAAAGTACACAGAACTGATAGCTGGAAAACAATGGTCGATACGACGAGGGAATTGTAGCGGATGGTCGAAGATAGCAGGATGAGGTTCGTCGAACACAAAAGACTACTCTTAGATCGAGTCATTTAGACTCGACCAGAGTGGGGGGACTAGATGATATGGGATATTATATACTAGACCGGTTCGGAGGACACTCCAAACAGAGCAGCGTATGGGTCTGGTCGAGCAGTACCAACAGGTCCATAGAAACTCTAGCACCTGGTCGAGCAGGGACGCCCCAGCAAGTACAGGCACAGACCAATCGTCTCTTGCCTCCAGAGCAGTTACACGTGAGGACACATGGACGGATCTGGTCGACAGCCAGAATATGCTAAAGAATCTCCGTCACATGGAAGGTGGACACGCGGCGGCGTGTGAATGGGCCAAGGGATAACGAACTCTGACATTCTCTGGCGCAGCTGACGCGTTTTCTGACACCGGAGAAAGTGGAGACGCGCGACCGTACGGACGAGCAAAGGATGGAGGGCGAGACTCGCCTAATCGCGCGTGGCCAACAGGTAACTCGTCCCTATAAATAGGGACGAGGATTATCGCTTTGAGATAACTTCCAATTTGCTTAAGATTTTGATATACATCTTTATCTCTCAAGATCTGACTTGAGCGTTGGAGGCTCTTCACCGGAGAATACCTCCGGTGTTAGAGTTTTCGTGCAGGTTCAGCGTTCGACCGGTGGAGGAAGTCGTGTTTGCTGCGGTTCTCGGTCGGGCGAGCGTTAGACTTGTATTAAAATGATTGAAATTAGTCATAAATTTGCAAGCAAACTCGATGATTGTGGGATTAGAAAGGCCAAGGGTTCTTTCCACATTGAACTATTGAATAAGATTAACTCTATTTACCACATCATTAACTCTCTTTATTATAACGAATGCGTATCACGCGCCATGGACGAACTATCTTTTTAGTTAGAGACCTTTTCTAAAACTTATACTATTAATCATGATTATTTATGTTTAACATCTCATTATTGTATGAAAAGAAATAAAAAATATGAAAAATTATATATTATTTATTTGATTATAATGAGTGTCTCAACCAAACCAATAACATCAAACACGTGATATATGATAAAATTAATTATATGATCGTCATGCTTGTTGAATAATATATATATATATATATATATATATATATATATATATACTTAATAAATATGAGATTTTTTTTTTATATCCAGATAGTTCAACTTAATTGATCATCTTTTTGTTCATATTTATTTAACTACAAAATCTTTTAAAGTTTAGAACGAATCTAATGTTATGAGCGTTCTTGGTACATAATTTTTTTTATACATATCTATTTTTCATCCCATATCGAAATTAACCTTTTCAAAAAACTTATACTATTAATCATGATTATTTATGTTTAACATCTCATTATTGTATGAAAAGTAATACAAAATTTGAAAAATTATAAAATATTTATTTGAATATAATGAGTGTCCCAATCAAACCAATAACATCCAACACATGATATATGATAAAATTAATTATATGATCGCCATGCTTATTGTATAATATATACTTAATAATATGAATAATTTATAATTAATTACATGATCGTCATATAATACTTAATAAATATGATATATTCAAAATTAACATTAAAATTTGTAATTTCGATATGAGATGAAAAATAGATATGTATAAAAAAAATTATGTACCAAGAACCCTCATAATATTAGATTCGTTCTAAACTTTAAAAGATTGTAGTTAAATAAATATGAACAAAAAGATGATCAATTAAGTTGAACTGCCTGAATATAAAAAGAATATGAAATTAACATTATTTATTAAATAATTACGATTTTTTAGTTGCGACTATAAGATATGAGATTTGTAGAAAGATAAATATAGATAAAATAATATTTAACAATTAACATGACTTTTCGAAAGTTTTTATAAAAATTCAAATGTTTTATTCGTTAAATGATTGACCGGATTTTTGTAATTAAATATAATCCTTTAACCGAAAAAAAAAGTTTCATCAGACTTTTAGAAGAAAGATTTTCAATATTCTTTTTCATTATGGGCCCAAAAAAGCTTATCAAATAACCTATTTACCAAACAAGTTCAATACCGGATTTGACGGGTCAAACCTCTCAATTAAGTCCAATCCGCTAATTTATCTTCAATCTGCTATCTTCCAAACGGGGCCATACTTTAATTATGCAAATTGTGTAAATCCGATGATTTATTCAATCAGCAAATAATTACTACAAATATGAAAATACCAACTAAAATAATCATATATGAGATTTACAAAAAACTATTCTAAAAATTGTGTTAATGATAATTTTTATTTAAATATTATTTAATAGTTGCTATTTATTTTTTGTGTCTCAAATTTTGGATAATTAAGGAAATAACTAGACCATCAAAATTTACATATTTAAGATACCCTAATTACACAGACGAGTAAATTTGTTTGATTTATTCAATCATAATTGTTGTATAAAATTATTCCAGAATAATTGTATTGATGACAACTTCTATATAATTATTTTTTAATAACTGTTTTTTGGGTCTTTATTATTTTTATCTATAAAAAATGTGGGTCTCAATTTTATTTTGTACGCTGGACAATTAATTTTGTGGTCAAATTGAATATTATTTTTTGTCGATAAAGTATGAAATTGAATTATTTGGTATACTATATATTGATCCAATATACCCGCTTACGGTAAAAAATTGTGTCTCAATTTTTTTTTTTTATATTGCTAAGCATTTTACTCGATATCAATGAGAGAAAAATCTGGAAATCATTATAGTTCGTAAGTGTACGTGGATCATATCAAATTATTTCGTGTATATATAACAGTTTGTAATCACTTGAACCACATTGTAGTCAAATCGAATTTATAAATAAATATTTTAAAATGACATCTATTTCGAAATAAATATAATGTAATTTGTTATTAGTTACTAGCAATACGGTCGTGTACCATTAAACAGACATAGTTAATGTAATTTTGCACAATTTATATTTCATGGAGAATGCTACCATCCCGTTACGGAATGGTTCCATTGTGTTTTTAAGCGTTGGATTAACTACCCATTACTAGATTACATGTATATCTATAGCTATAAAACACAACGAAACCATCCCGTAACGGGATGGTAGCATTCTCCTATATTTCATATAACATTTTCAACAAATTAATATACGTAAGTTGTATTACATATCACTTTCATATTTTATATTTATAAATATTTTTTAATGAGAATTTTTAATTTATCGACATTAAAGAATTTTTTTTACCCGTGCAGTGCATCGCACGCGAGATTCGTACTAGTTAATGATTAACGGAGATAGTCCCTTTAATTTTGACAACCAAATTGCAATAGAAAAAAAATAGAAATTAACTAATTTTTGTAACTTTTGAACTAATTTTGCAATTTAGCCCAACTATAGGGATCAAATTTGCATTCCACGCAATTTCGATGTTCTATCGTCAGAACTAAAAACTGCTTTAGCCTCTGGTACACATTGAGCAAAATTTCCCAATCCTCAATCAATGGCGTCCGCCGCAAAATCCCTAATTCAGACCCTCCGTCGCTACATCAAGAAGCCATGGGAGTTCACGGGCCCCGCCGCCCATCCCGAGTACCTCTCCGCCGTCCCCAAGGCGACGGAGTACCGGGTCTTCTGCCCCGCCACCGCCTCCGCCAAAGCCATCGTGCCGACGTCGCTGCCGGAGACGGTCTACGACATCAAGTATTTCGCCCGCGATCAGCGCCGCAACCGCCCCCCGATCAAGCGCACCGTCTTCAAGAAGGCCGACGTGGAGAAGATGATGAAGGAGAAGACCTTCGATCTGGGCGACTTCCCCAGGCCGTACTTGACTGCGAAGGTTGTCGAGGATGATAACGCCATTGGCGGTGGATATCAGAAATAAATCGTCGGGTATGTTTCTTGTTGCTTGATTATATGAGGTGTTTTTGTTTTAGAGCAAATTTGGGCTGTGTGGTGTGGAGTCCAAGAGTGTAGAATGGTTTAAAGTACATAGTTTTGTTGACATTTTCTAGTTATAATTTAATGATTTGCCGATATCTGAATGATGAGATTGTGCGGTTGTATTATATCATGAGAGTGTAGAATGATTGGAGGATGCTTGAGAGCATGTGGGATTTGATTAGCAAATGATATGTCTTCCTAAGAGATTGTTAGTGTATAATGATTGGAGGATGCTTGAGATCATGTCGATTTGATTAGCAATTTATATCGTCTTCTTAAGAGCTCGTAATAATGTGGTGTGGCCAACTTATGAGTATGTTTTACCAGTCGCTGAAATAATAAGTTTGTAGATATTGATAATCTTAGCTTTGGATTTTTTGGTGATATTGAATTGTGTACAATGGTTATGATTACCCCTCCTTGGCCATCTACGTAGTTCATATATATTTAATTTTTGTGGATTTTTTAGTAGCAAGAAAGTTGGCAGTTGCGCAATGTTGCTGAACTGAAACTTATGATGTTGGTATCTGGGTTAAAATTTTATCGTTTATATACTTACTGTCATCTACGGTTGCAGAATTTGACCATGTGATAAATGTAGAATGTCCGTTAAACTGCTGTTTACCCCTTTTTAAGTTGGAGTACTGAATGAATATAGATTCAGTGAGTCACAGGTATATAATTAAACATTGTGTTGGATTGTCTGAACTAAAATATTTAAAGGATGGGTGTTTCCATGAAGTTGGTCCTCACCAAATTCCTTAAGATTAGTTATTCTTGATTATTCAGTTCATACTATCGTCACATTGGTTTTCTAGGTGTTTTATCATTTCTGTACTCTGTCCTCACTGCCATGTCCATGTTATTTTTTTTTTTTTTGCTTGGTACAGCTGTGGATTATGATGATCATGATAAAGTTTGCCTAAAACGAAAGCCAAAACACAATCCAGTTTTAAAATTTCCGAACTATACTAAAATAATGTTTGTTGGGGATTCATCCAACCTGGAGCTTGTGCTGCAATTGGTGATATGTGTCTGTGACTAAACACTTTGAGTTCTACGTACCTCATTGCTCATTTGGAATCTGAATTTGAACCTGAATCCCCATTACTTCTAAAACTAAAATTGGAGGAACCACAGGATTACACGACCACATTTTCGTCTGATATCTCAACCTACGTACCTGTCTTCATGAACCATAAGGCACCGAACTACGATACAAATTACTATCGATACCTTACTTGTTTAACGAAGTGGTTACTTGTATCCTCCTTGTGCTGCATTTATTTTGGAGCGAGTATTTAATGACCAATCGCTGATATTGATAGTTGGCGTTAGGTGTGTGTGCCAAAATATGCAGTTTTGCTTCATTGAGAGTGATCCAAACTGTACAAGATATACTGAATTTTGTTCAGTGAGTCACAATTATTTGGTTAAAATTGGGCCGGATTGTCTGAACTTAAAAATATAATGATTGATTTTTCCATGAAATTGGTCCTCACCAAGTTACTTAAGACTATATATTCTGATTATCCACTTCATACTATCACCACATCTCTTTTACTAATTGCTATTATATATGGAATACCCTGTCCTCACTGCCAACTTCACGTGTACGTTTATTTGACTGTTTTTGAATTTGTCACGGTAAAGGGTTTGCGTAAAACAAAAGCTAAAACACAATCCAGTTTTAAAGCTTCTGGACTATTCTAGAAGAGTGCTTCTTCGGGATCCATCCAACTTGAAACTTGTGCTGCATTGCTGTTGTATGTCCGTGACTAAAACCTCTGAATTCTACGTACCTCATTTGTAATCTGAAATTGAACATAAACTCCCCATTAGTGTTCCAATTAAAATTGGAGGAAACACAAGCCTACATGGCGACCTTTTGTTCTGAAATGTGCAGTTTTGTGGGCATTGAGAACTTTACAATATATGTAGATTTAGTTGTGTTTAATTGGTGGAAATTGTCAGTTTACCTGAGTAGGTGATGAGTTTGAACTTGCAATACTGACATTTTTACATTGGGAAGCTTCCGCCTGCTTTACAAGCGGCCTTCCCATCTCCATTTTCTTGTTTCAGATTGTAAATTTCTGATTTAATAATATTCTGAATGTGGTCGTGGTTATATTCCTTTTGTAACAGGCTTATGAGTTGCGAAGCTAACTAGGCTGCTTAAAGAGTTTAAAGAGGTCAGCCCAGTTTCACGCTGTGGATTTTTTTTTCACTCTAGCACTTTGATATTTTCCCATCCTCATCTATGTATCACATGTGGAGACAAGAAGGTGTATGCCATTAAGTGTATCTCGGTACTAAGTTCTTTCCCAATAATGTAATGTTTCCTTACTCGAATACTATGTTGTTAATCGGCATTGTGAGAAGTGGCTTGTTGATTCTCGTTTGTTCTGAAGTTTGAATGTCTTGACTGCTCTTGAAGCTTTGTTCAGTGCTCAAATATGAGCTGGTTTTTATAATTAACATAGAACAGATGGGCATCTAAGGTGATGGTATACATCCTCATGAGTCACGACGCTCTTCAACTGCTTATATGAAACCTATTACGGCTAGTGCTGTTAAATTAAACGAGCCTAGCTCGGCTCAGCTCGTTTGATAAACGAGCCAAGAAGCTCGAGTTCATTTAAATCTGGTTTGGTTAATAAGCCGAGCTCGGATCGATTCGATAAGACTCAAAAAGAGTATTTTTATAAAATTTTCTATAGTTTGGCTCGCTAAAATTCGAGATTGGCTCGTTAAGGCTCGAACTCGACTCGCCGACTCGTTATTAGTGATAAACGAGCCGAGCTCGAGTTCGATTTTAGCTCGTTTATAAGCCTAATTACGGCTAATTTCATAAGATCTCATTTTTCACTAGACTTGGTTTATTCTTGCTGCCTTTCTCATATGAATTGGACTGCCATATGCTTGTTAGACCAAGGATAGCATTACATATTTACATGTGTGTTGAGTGTGATTGATAACCCTGTGATGCTCAATTCACTATTTTTGAAAATATTATTGTGTAAATAGGATGAATTTATTAATTTATTATAACAGGCTGAAGCCTGCAGAATATAGTTTTGTGTATTTATTACTGCAGACAGATTTATCAGATGGGATCAGGAGGGTACCTTATCTGCTGCATCTGGTACACTCACCATCAGCACCATCTCTTTATTATAACTGTACCATTTTTCCCTTCACAGAGAGAGGACACTTTCTGTAGTTGGGAATTATCTCCGTGAATCATAGCACTTCATCATCTGACATGCTGACAGTAACACATCATTTTTATTTTTATTTTTGTTCTAAAAAAATGTTGCACCATGCCTCCTTTTTTCACTTTTTTTTTTTAATTATAATGTACTTGTTAATTGTTAAATAAAACGAGTCGTTGGTTAGTAGGCCTTTAAACGAGTCGAACTGAGCTCGAGCCAGAAATTGAGTTTGAGTTCGGCTCGTTTATCACAATTAATGTGCTGAGTTCGAGCCTTAATGAATTGATCTTGAGTTTAACAAGTCAAATTTTAGAAGAAAATTATATAAAATTCACTTTTCGAGTCTTAACGAGTCTTTTTTAGCCGAGTCGAGCTTAACCAAACAAGCTTTAAATGAGTTTTAGCTCAGCTCGTTAAGGCCTCGAGCTCGAGCAGAGCTGAGCTAGACTCGTTTAATTTAACGACACTACTAGTGAGCTTGAGCCCGACTTGTCAAAGTTCGAAAATAGATATCCATAGCTCGCTAACATTGATAAACAAACCGACGTTCAAGCTTTTGTTTATTGGTTCGACTCGATAAATGCTCGAGTATCAGGAGCTCGTTGACACTCATATGTGCTGACATTCGAGTTCGACTTGTTAATACCATGTGGACAATAACAATGGAGTAAATGTATATGCATACAAGCAAAAGCCAAGAAACAAAACTGACTCGTTACGCAAAAGCGCTTGGATGAGATAGCTTGGGTCTCTTCCAGCTTAACCAGTGGTCTCGTGTTCGAGTCCTGAGAATGCAGCAGTGTTAAAACTCTTGAGGGAGAGCTTTGCCGCCCTTGTGGTCCTACCCGGCTC